GATAAGAGTCCCACAACAATATATGATTTTACAGTATCCAACATGAATGCTCAGACTGGTTCTCAATCTGGCAGTCGTAAACATCTTAATTATACCATCAGTTATGAAAACAACATCAATAAATGGATAAACTTTGTATACTGAGTTACAGTTCATTGTAATGCAACTTTTTTATTGAATGAATGACACTGATAATACAGTATTCAGCATGAAAATATCAAAGATGGGAACTTCATGCCTTCTTCACATATGTCTCAATGTATAGGCTGTCATACAAGTGATCTTGCAAAAATTACTGTATTCTGTATATGAACATAAGAATATTAATATGTCCAATTTTTAGAGGAGTGTAGTTGAATATACCATGTATACAACTTCATAATTATATGACCAAAGAATTCAGTTTCCATTTCCTTGGTGATTTCTGGAAAATGTTAGAAAAATTCTTAACTCTTGTAAGCCTCTGGTCAGCCAAAAAAAAAAAAAAAAAAAAACGAAAACTTGTGAAGATTTGAATAAGTATGGTATAAAGTTTTTCTTAGGAATGCAAGCCTCTATTTATCACACATAACAAACATAATTTGAGAGCTGATCAGAAATTTTTTCCATTTTCTTAGGAATGCAAGCCTCTATTTATCACACATAACAAACATAATTTGAGAGCTGATCAGAAATTTTAAATTGAAATACAATTTTCACTGACTTCAAATTTTTTTTGTTTATTACATGTGATGTCTATTACGTTGCTATAACCAATGGAAACTGTCAGTCAGTATTATGAAAATGATCACAACGTGAGCATTACGAAATACTGATAACTACTTAATTATTTCTCAGTTATCATCATAATTTAATTACTTGCCTTATATAAGTGTACCAACCACTTACAAAATAACAAAAGGGAAGTGTTTCACAAAAATTGATAGGGAGAAAGTTTTTACTGAAACTAAAGCAGCAGATAACTTGAACGGCTGAGAAGTCAATGGAAAATTACTTACATAACACTGAGTGCCTGAATACATGGGAAGCAAAGAGGGAAGATTGTAGTAATCTCTTTACACCCTTTAATCTATTTTTGGTATGACTAATCAACTGCAATCAATATATTTTGAACAGTTTTCTTAAAGACTAAAACTTAATATTTCAATATATAGTGCCGAACCTTGCTATCTCGAACTCATATAATTTGAAGAGCCCATTTAATTTGATGCGTTTTCCCTGGTCACTGCCTAACTCTACTCTCACTCATTTAAATTGAATACTTGAATATCTTGAAGTTTTCCAATGGTCCTGCTGAGATTGAGATAATAAGGTTTGACTGGGGGAAGGGGGAACAAAAGACAAAATAACTACTTTGAATTTAAACCAAAGATTAGAATTAAAAATAAGGTAGCTAGGATCTCTAGAAAATACGTACATTTGTGTCAATCAAGGAAGTTAAAACTCATTAAAATCTTAAAAGTCATGCATGACCTAATAATGATATATACCTTCCCAAATCTTTAAGTTGATTTTCTAAGACATTTTTATGTACTAAACACTTATGTGACATGTTTAACCCTTTCGTCGCCGTAGACCACTAAAGTCGACATGCAGACAGGTCGCCGTAGGCGACTAAAGTCGACATGCAGACAGGCCGCCGTAGGCGACTAAATTCAACATGCACACAGGCCGCCGTAGAGGACTTTGGTCGACAATTTTTATATCTTTGTTATTAGCCAAGATATGCTTGTTTCAGTAATGCTGCCATTTTTTCGGATATTTTCCAGAAAATATTGGCACTGAGCTGTACATTGTATGAGATAATTGGCGCTGAAAGGGTCAAGTATGGGCCACGAACTTGTATCACAATCAAACACAAATGTCAGAAATTTAGATAAAATCAACAGAAGAAAATCTGTGTTCCTGCAAGACTTTACTACAGAAAAATAGAAAATACTGCTTTTCTTGTAATATTATGTCATAATCTGGAGAAGGATGAAATGTAAAACGATAGGTTGTGCTTGATATCATGCTAAGCTGAGGTCACACAAACATATGTGAAGATCAAAGCGACAGTTTTGTAATTTGAAATTGTATTTCTACATTTAACATGACAATCTTAGATAGGATGTACACTAAGTTAGATTTACATACTTTTATCCTATCTTAAAAGATTTGAAATGATAGCAAAACTAATATAGAAATATATACTTGATAGCTAGAAACAAATATCAAGTGCCTGCCTGTTGAAAAAAAATAAATCTGACTAAAAAAATATAAATCTGATTACTAGAAACACACCCAACAACTAGAATAATGTAAATGTTTACAAGGAGCATATAATTACATAAAAGGAACACATATTATCTGCTTTGACACCTGATTCACATAACTGACCATTAGCAACTAATTTGATATCTGATTCTGTATATTCAACCCTTTAGGTACAATTAACAATCAATAGATATTACTTCTTCAAAGCCATTTTCTTCACAGCAGTGGGAATGTACATAGATATAGGTGGCGAAACTTTGATTAATCAATAATAATCAATTAGCTTTAGCAAGCATTGGTGCTAAACGTTACAGGTAAAAGGCACGAAGAATTGATAAACACTACACAGGTATAACATTTACAATATTTATATACATTGTCGATATGTTGTTGAATGCTTTGTAGTATAATATTTTAAGTAAATCTTTCAACAATTATCACAAGATACATATGCTAACTGAATTATATATTTTGATAATAATACATAGGAATAATCATAAGCAATGCCCCCCCAAAAAAGAGGCATAATTTCCAAAATTATGCTGGGAATATAACATACCAAATATTTAGTAATTGATACTCTTTTCTTCCGAAGTAAAATATATAATGAATCTATAATACTAATTAACATATTCATCACATCAGAATTGACATGATAGATGTAAATTCTGTTTGTAGAAAAGACATTCATATGGGAAAAAGTCAAGACTGTTAAATAACGATAGTAAAAAGTTGATGTAGGTATTTTTAAAGTTTTAAAAAAATTTGCTTAAATATATTCTTCTCTACTTCTCTCTTTAAAATATGGCATTCTCTTAGTAATATTAATCTAAATAAATTTCAATTTGTAAAAGAAAAGTTACACGTTTCTGTAGGACAAGAATATCACGGAATTGCTATGATGGGGAAATTTTTCAAACCAAGCACATTGATATATTGATGTTATTTTCTTTATCTTTCATGTTTACAAATAACTATTTCACTTTTGTCCCTAACAGAGCTGACCAGCTATATAATCTGCATAAGACTATCATTCTGGACTATCACTGAGATGAAAATAGAATATTGACTTATAAGTTATATTCAAATTTGTTTTAATAAGATATTTATTGGTACATATACATTATAGAAATTAAATGTCATCAAATTCACACAAAATTGGCAAAATCAGCTGGTGCAATAAATGTGTTAAAGCTACAAATTTACAAAAGGAATACCATGGGGGAAAGGCAAAAAGCTTTATTGGGAATGTAAAATTATTCTTTATAAAGAATTTGAGTTTTAATCTAAATGTATTATAAAAATATCGTAATACTGATACTTTGTCTAATCTATAACTTATATACCTGTGACAGAATAAACAAACATCTATATAAACCATCTCTGTGGGACTTAAGATTTATGAATTTATAAAAAAAACCAATTAAGTTGGTGCTCTGATTACCTTGCATTTTGAAAATAAAGAAAATTTTATTCCAAACCCAGTAACTGAAAATTAACTTTTGAAATTATTCCAATAACAATCTTGATAACGCTTTCACTCAAAAAGATTTCAGAAAAATATCATTAAAATCCAATTAAATAGAACCTGTAATTAATTAAAATGCATAATTATATTCCATATAGCATAAATATCACTCACACCCAAGATAGAAAAACTGTCAAAATTTTGCATAGATTTTGTATGTTTTGATCACTAAATAAGTAACACAAGAATATCAGTGAAACTGATGAATGCTTCCTGAAAACAATTTCATTGGACACAAATTTTAATAATGGGCAATTATTTTGTAATTAAGAGGTTGTGAGACTTGAATTTGGCATACTGCACATTCTATGATCAATGTTTACACCCAATTCCATGATCCTATAATTTTAATGCAAGCAAAGCTACACTCATGACACAAAATTTTAACAAAGGGCTATAACTCTGTATTGAGGGGTCATGACCCTGACTATATTAAACTGCACCTTTTATATAACTGATGTATACGTTAAAGTTTCGATATCCTAGTTCAAATGCAGGCAAAGTAATGCTTCAGACACAAAATGTTAACATAGGGCCATAACTCTGTAATTCAGGGATTTCTGCCCTGAATTTGGTACAATGCACATCATCTTAGAATGATCGATGTATACACCAAGTTTCATTACCCTAGCTTAAATCCGAGCAAAGTTATGCCCCAGACAGGAAATTTTAACAAAGAGCAGCAACTCTGTAAATGAGAGGTTGATTGCTACACAGCACTTTCTATTAGTATGATTAATGTATACACCAGGTTTCATGATCCTTGCTTGATTGTGGGCAAAGTTATGCTACAGGCATGATGGACAGAAGGAAAGGACAGATAAACAAAGTGGCAACTACATGGTCCCCAATTTTTTTTTGCATTTTAAAGTGTGATATATGTGATACATAATATATGTTTGTATCAAAATATGAAAATAGACTGGCAGCAATATGATTTAACATTCCATTAAAAGTATATATGTTATTTATATATTTATATTCTACAATAAAATAGATTTTTAATTTCTGTATCAGTTTGGTAGGTGGGTTTTCAATATTCATATTTAACCAAACTGTAGTTTGCTTCCACTTTTATCTTTGAATCAGAGCTGTGAGTAGAACAATCATAAAAAAAATCCCTCCTTCCCCACCAACCAAAAAAACCCTGCATTTTGGTGATCATGACATAAGTATATAGCGAAAGCCTTTCTGTTGATGTGCTATGTATATATGGTTAGAGGAGGTAGGGTACAACAGCTTTCCGTTCTGGTGGGTATTTTGGGAAGGTCTCCTTGTACCATTTGTGAACGAGATATCCTTCAATCAACTGATTTGTAAGTACAAACAACCACAAGCAAAAACAGACCTCGTGTTCCCAGCCGACCAGTGTGGAGATGGCAAAATACAGAATAATTTCCATCAGGAAGTGAGGACAGGACACATACTCAAACAAGTCACCATGTGGGATGTGATGTTTAGTATTGGTCACATTACCTGCAATTTAATCATAAAATACTATAAATAGTTCAAATAATGATAATAAAAAACAACAAATATGGTAGGTGATAAGTATGCATACACGATTGATACACAAGAATAATCAGTGATCCAGCAGAGTCTTGATTTTCCTTCACTGTATCAGTTCAAAAAAGTCTGTAAGACATACATTCATTGATAAAACGTCTCCATGTGAACAATGAAATAAATTCTCTTCAAATTCACAGTATTTCCATATACACAAAATTAGTGGTGATAAAAATTTACAAATTATCTCCCTTAGACCATATTCCAAAGTAATGTTTACCTGTCATCCCACCCACTGAATGAGTTTTAACATGTTCTCCAACTTTGAGAATATAAATGAATTTTACTGAAAAAATCAACATTATATCTGACAGGTAGTGTCATATACTGGACTTAATACAATTTCTGTCAATTCAGTTTCAGATGAAAGTTACTTTGAAACTTTTGCATTTTGATTGAAATATTTACATTTAGCGAGAGTTTAAATCTTACCATTCTTGTCCTGTCGTAATTTTGCCATTTTCTTGTTAACACTGAACTGTTTGAAACTGGCATACAGGAACAAAATCACAGCATACCAATGGAGCCACGACAATGAATAAAAATCATCTATACAAAAAAAAAAAAAAAAAATTAAAAACAAATTGATGTATATTTTTTTCTGCAAACTTGTATTATTATATATCAAAACTACAAATGAATGTCATTTAGACAAAAGAGTCTACGTTATGTTAGTGTTTACAAATATAATAAATTATAAAACAATCATCCCTGTGCAATAAAGACAGAAAATCTGTAATATCTTAGGAAAAGATCTGTTGTCTTGATCTTGTTCAAGTCCTGATGATCCTTCTAAACAATAAGAAGATTTTACTCTAACTGTGATACCTCTGGTTACAGGTAGAATCAAAGACCTGACAGATTCTGATCAACATGTACAAACAGTAAGATACATCAAATTTCTTGAGAACAGAAAACCTAATCCTAAAAATATGATACAAAATATACCAACATAAACTGTACCTGAATCAGAAAATATTGCTGATGACATGTATCGACATCAAAATATTTCTCTTACTAATGCCGAGATAGTATGAATAAGAAAATGGTACAGCAATTTCCCTATTAGGACTTTACAATTAATGCTTGCCTTTAGGAATATCAGTACAGATAAGTAACTACTGGTCTAAAGAGAGTCAGAATTTCTACACACGGGACACTAAATAGTTGAGAATATATACAGATATTTTCCTACAAGAAAAGATCCCTGGATGAGAATTACATGTACCAATATATGTAAACCTACTTACCAAGAGAGATAGTCCCTGCCTCCGATAGTGCCAAGATTGATATGCCTATGCTTGAGTAGAACAATACGCCCACCATGTATATAACCAGGCTCATTTTGCTGTTTGAGTAACTGTTGATGTACAGAGTTTCTATACTTCTACGGACCACCTGAATCTCCTCCATAACTAGAGCTAGCACCATTGGAAGAGGCGGAGTCAAATCTGTGACAAAAAGTTTAAATTTCTTTTTTATATATTAATTCATGCGAGTATTACACACAATTCTGTTAAAGCATATACCATATCCATGAAGAAATAATGAAATTAAAATTCAATACTGATTTTTGTTTAATACAACAAGAAACAAGCTTAAATTCACTATTTTTGGAATCAAAATTTCCAATTGAAGATACATAACTACAAAATTTCAGCTGAAGTGATTTTTGAAATTCAGATATTTGAGTCCCGGGCTCATGCTTTTCCTGTGGAACTCATTCAAATTAAACTTAGTTCAAGTCATGATCAATCTTTAATCGATTCCTCCAACACAGAAAATCTAAGCACATTCTAAACCATTCCATTTTTATACAACAGTTTTTTTGTTTAGTTTCCACAAATATTGTTAATGAAATGTTTACTCTTAACTATAAGGATTACTCTTTATACAATATGGATATCCATAAATACATACAGTGTACTAGAATGTTTTAGCCAAGCTAATAAATTACTAGAGTCATTTATGAGTGTACAGATACATATTTGACTCTTTAATGTAGCTGACCTTCGGCCTCCTTGCCAGGGTGTCCTATGTAAGTGAGAAAATCCTGGAACCATTCTGGCCATATTCCAGTTCCACAAACAGTGTAGAGAGTAATAGCTAGAACAGTTGAGTTTATCACCACACCAGTCAGATAAAAATGGCGGAACCAGCTACAATATAAGAAAATGCTGTTAACTTAATTTGTTCACAAATTGTGTAAACGTACAAGGAAAAGTTACCAGTAATTGAATGAATCAAATAAGTCTGATTAATCTTATATCTTTTTGAGATTTGTATTAGTCTAAGCTGACACTGCTAGTTCTGTACAGTTGTAAACTACATGTATACATTTGTATACAGTTTGTAAACATTGAACATGCATCTTATCAATCCAACTCAATTTCTTTCATTTTGCATAAATAGTTTCTTTGAATACTAAATAAGGAAATTAGTGATAAGAATACTGCCAATATAATTTACTTGTACATATACATGTAAAAATAAATTGATGGTCAGTGTCTTAAAAAATCAGCTGTATTTTGGCGAGGGTGAAGAAAGACAAAAGTGGCTAGCCTCTAGCAATCATTTTTGTCTTTCTGTTCACAGCCAAACTGCTGTTTATAATTCAAGACACTGATCATGACCAGGTATTCTATTGATCCTACAACATTCATTGAAAATCAGACAATCAAACGTTCAGCAGTTTACTGTTTAATCTTTGTTTACCTGTCGTAGACATTATGCTGAATTTTACCTGATGGCATACGCTAAAAAAATTGCTCCGCACACAAATGTAAGATAAGATAAGTTGATCTCCAGTTCAGGACTTATATGCAAGTCCTCTATATGTAGTTCCAAACTTCAATGGCTATGACAGTCAGGGCTCTTGATCTGCCAGATTTGGGGCCAAATGCCCAATGCAAAATAGTATCTTTTTTTCCCAATTTAGACCCCAAGTTTTTCCAATTCCAAGGAAAACGCTAAGGGCCCCGGGCCACAGTCCCAAAATGGGGTGTGACAGCACTGACAGTGATTTTATGAATTTTTCCAAAATAAATTATTCATTACAACATATAAAATTGCTTATTTCCACAGTTATTCATCTTATTTAAATGTAATTTTAAAGTAAATTAAAAGAGTAATTATGTTGAATTAACACACATGCTCAAATACGGCTGTTTTACATCACTGCCGAATATGGCAATGCCTGCTTTTGGCAGTGTCAGTTGCAAAATAAACATCAATATATTTTCTTTTTTTTATTTTCATTTCTATCTTTTCATGTTAAATATCTAAATTCCTATGATGAATTGCAAAACATCAGCATACCCCAGCCAGGCAACAAAATTTACAAGTGAGTAATCCTAACATAGACATTTATATACAATATTTCTACACACTGAAGATGAATTGGTCTTCAGTGAGTAGAGCAACAAGTTACCCAATTCTACCCAGCACTACCCAATGCCTACATGTACCTAATGCTACCCAATTGCACCCAACACTACCAAACCCTATACTTCAAGAATATATCTGTTGCATAAGTTAAATGCAACAAAAAAAAAAAAAATAAAAAAAGGAAAAGATGAAATCAATGATATTTTTTTTTATAATTTTATCCACCATCAATCTGTATAAGTTTTGTAAAAATACAGCTAAAAAATCAATAAACAGGTGAAATATACACTGTTCTACAAATTCTGTATCAATAGCTAGTATGTATGTGATAAGGACACCATCTAAAATTGTGTCGATAGCCTTCATGGTCAAAGTAAAAAATGATACAAGGAACATATATTTATACATCTATCTGAGGAGCATTGAAACTCCTACGCGTCATGATATCGACCATGTAATCTTATGCCATACAACGGTCACGACTGAATACCCAATAGTGCTCAATCACTACATAATATATGTACCTGTGGTATGCAAATGAGTCTGTTTTCTGGCGACCATATACATTTGTAGATACAATGTTTAGATATAAATCATGGCTTGTCCGTGAAACCTATCTTATTATATCCAATCAAAGAAAGCTGACACGATGCCGTGGCAATGAACCTTCGGGAGGTGGGGAGTGAAGATGCATGGGCACGGCATTCATCCTCATCACCTGACATTAGATATGCAACAACCTACCTTTTTGGCACCTGGAATAAACTTTCCTGTAACTTGAAACCGCTTAACCCGCGGACTTTTCCAAAAAGATACAGATCATGGATGAAGGATGGAAAGTAGGAACTAAATTCGACACTCAAATAACCTAGAATTATGGCTAAAGTAGCAACATTCCAAATTACACTGAGCAAAAACATGTTTACAATAACACCGGAAACCCAAATGATCTCCTAAAATTAAAAAGCGAAACCGGAGACATATATTCCGGGATGAACAATCAAAACACATAAAAAATATTCTGAACTTAAACAAATTATTTGAGCGTATGTCGAAAATCCTAAAGCGGCGAGTACGTTCTAGGGAAGAATATATCCACTACCAGATATTAATTAATTCTAAATGTTAGATGAAGGATATTTTCTTTGAAACTTTAAATACAATTAATTGAATAGATGTAATATATATTTGTAATGATCAGAATTATATGTTTAAGATAAAATCAGGTGTAAATGAAAAAAATGGATAAATAAATTAATATGATAACAATTAAGGTACACTAAAACCTTCTTAAAACTGAATGGCAAAGTAAATCAAAAACATATTAATAAAACAAAAGTAAGTGTGTACATTCAAGAAGATATCAATACTGCTACTCGCATTTTTTGTAAAATAAATAAAGTTAGTATATATCACCATATGTAACTTATCAAATCAATAATTACTGATTATGTAGAATCTTTCACCGACTTCAAGGTGAAATATGGTGTTCTCAACCTGAGGGTAAATATTATTTATAAGTTAACGAACACGATGAAAAAATATTAGACTTCACAGTAACAACGGAGACATGATTAGTAAATCAACTGTAATGTCTCCATCATTTGTTTTCGGAAGCACGATGTCTTTGGAAAGCCAACTTGTCATTTATTCAGTTCAATTACAATTATGTACCGTATGTAATATACGTATATAGTATAACAGATGTCGTTTATACATTATATAAAATATATCATAAGTACATAGACTCAATATATTATAAGATATCTAATGAATCACAAGTTGTTGAAGTTAGTTTGCCATAAATGTCAAACGCAAATCTGACCTATTTCCGCATCAAGGTCTCAATGACGCCGCACATAACAATGTTTGGGTCTATGTACCAGAGACGTATATAACACATAATTTATTTGTGAGCAGTCGTCATCTTTACGAATGTTATAATATTCGGAACAATCACTTGAATATCGAATCAAAGAAGACATTTAAACACCAGAGGCTTAGGAAACAGGAATATACAATGTAACTATCTAGAAAATGAAAACAATAGAGAAATTATCACGCTGATAAAGTTTAGTGAAAAACTCTCTTCTGGTTCCGTTATAGGAAACGATCGAGGAAGCTAGCTGATAAAGACGAACCTGCTTTGTCCCCTATTTCCAGTTTCGGAGTGTAAATATATATCATATGAATATCCGATGGTTCATGCTATTCAAAAACTACTCATCATTACTATATCTAAAAGTGAATATGAACGACTTGACAAATGCTTTGAGCTGCATTTTTCTTTCTTTTTCTTATAAACTGCTTCATGAAAAAGTCCACTAAGGGAAGTGCTTAGATTCAACTGATGGGTTTGTCAGAAGTCTGTTCGAAGATCTTGCCACCAAATTCGAGGAAGATATTGTCAACACAATCAGGTTCTCATAACCAGAGATTGAATGCGTTTATTAAGCTAATACTTTGGTATGGTAGTGTACGGAGTATGATACAGAATATTTTTTACATTACAGAATGTTTAAGATATATCACTTATCCATTATATGCCTTTGTTCATGTATAATTAAGCGAACCCTGAATCCTATCGTGTAAATTGTCGTATAATGTAACTGTGACAGTTGGATTATTCATCAAAAGTTTGAATAAACTGGTGTTCCCTATGGAACTGGATACGCTTACTCTTTCCGAACACCTGATGTCATTGTCCGTATTCCTTATTACATACTTGGCCAGTTCCATAACATTTTGGTTTGAATTAAGTTTCTGTTGACGTAATAGTATTTTCTTTCTTGTTATTGTGGAACAATAAGAAAACTGTTGTTGACCTTGATAGAGAGTATACATTCACACAACACAACTGCTAGCAATGACAATTTTAATTGTTATAACATACTAACATTTTAGACGGCAGCAGGACGTTTTATCCGGATGTACTATATTGACGACGAACTAACTTGCCCTTTGCATTAAGTACAAGAAGTTTGCTAAGCCATTTCTGAGTTGTGCGAATGGATTTTATATCCCGCTATTGCGTCAAAACTGATATACATTTACAAGTATTTAAATTTAAGCCACCTATGTATGGCCTCAAATTTAATGCATACCATTTTGTGCTACCTTGAGTGTTGCGAGGCCTTGAGCCAACCCTCGTCACGAAACACTCAAAATACATATTATCATTGTTTAGGCATACACGTAACTGAATTTATTGCCAGGTAAGGAACTATCATTTAAAAGTACATATAGTCTAAAAACAGACAGAATGAAATATCTCATAAGTTTCCATTATTTCAAATGATTTTTTTTTATCGTCTTGTGACCTCTAGTATACCCCAATTATTCCCCCTTATGTTCCCACTTTCGTTACCCTATGACAGAATTTGTCGCTTTCACACTTGAATGTATGCTTTTATATACCGTTACTTAAGTCATATCAATAACGACAGGTATATAGACATAATTTACTTAATACCGTATTACATTTTGGAACTGTTTCTGTTTTTCAAGACTAGCTATTTTATCACTTTTTTCAGTTTTTGGCTGATTAGTTTGTTTTTCCTTTTGTCCTTCCTATGTGTAGAGACGTGAGAGATATACTCTACACACCGGGAACATTCTTACCCACTTCGAATCCCCGTCAAAATTCAGTGGTACATTTATGTACTGAAATACTGAAGCTTCGTATATCAAAATATAAACTAAACGTTGAAAAGATAAATCACACACGTTTGAATGTTCTTTACCGGGAGTAGTCATCAATTCAAATTTCAGTTTTTTCCGGAAAACTTCTGAAAATCTAAAAATATTCATTGAACTGATTATCATCAAGTAGTGATTTAAAATCAATCAGCACATCATTTAGATATTGGGGTAGTAATAAACTGCTGTTTAGTACAAACTAAGTGCTTATCAACAGGTATATTAAAGGCTAATTCATTCCTTAATGATTTATGCAGTTGCGTCGCTGTCGTGCACAAACATGCACCGACCAACAGTATCAGTCATTGTACAAAGTACATACCTGCATTTTTAAAAGGTAACTTCAAAGTCACGATTTCGCAACTGAAAATAACAAAATGAATATATAAACTTCAATAAATAAGAAAAAAACCCACTTGCTTTTGATATGATCCGTTGCTGTAGAAATATAGCGTGTTCGGTAACGTTTATGACGGACCTTACGACCAAGCCTAAGTGGCACCCCACACGAGGCTAACGTTCGTCATCAATGGCCACCATTGTTTTGCACATGACAGGTAGTCAATGGCCTTCTTCTTGTGGGTACAACATTAGGAACTGTAGAATTAAGCCCTTGTTCCCACTCAATAGTGACGAAAATTCCATATATAGTAAAAACATATATTGCAGTCATCGGCGGGACTCTTATTACCAAATCTGATCTTATTTCAAACAGAAAGCGAATACGGACAAGCAGATTTTAAATTATCCGTTCTTATCAAGGCACATTGTTTTGTTTGTTTAATATTTCCACGTTTTTGATATTTTCACAATTTACGAAAATGATTTCTACTGTGAAAGTTCGGATGTATATTTGTATATTAACTATAGGATATCTGTCATTTGCAGGTAAGTAAAATTTTATCATTTATATAATTACTATCAGTAAATGTTACCAATTTCTCTTTTAAAATACGTCATCAATGTCTTTTCATTCATGAAATTATTTCATCCATGTCTCTATGAATATCTTTAATTTCTGTCCCTTTCTTCTTGGTATATTTGTGTGTTTTGAGTATGTTGCTTTTCTTTTTGTGTTGGTATCTGATTCAAACACATCACTTTATATGATTACTTTGCTTTTTCTACTCAGCTTTAATTACACACCAGTGTATACTCTTCTGATTATTAATTTCTTGATTGAATACAAACCGTTAATGATCAATTAAATTATTATGCTAAAGTTTCTGTTATTGCATAATTTAAATGTATTTCGTTCTGATTTTCACGTTTCAAACACAAATTCATTTATATATCGTGCCCAACTTTTGCTATATATTGTAAAATTTCCAAAAAAATGATTCAACGAAGGACACTTAGAATATTAAATTAAATTAATGTATTTGTATTAGATTAGACATGCCAGACTATTATATGCACACACTAAATTTATCATACATATATGCAATTGTATATGTAATATCAAGTTGAAAATTAAACGGGATCTAAAGGCCAAAATGGGATATGACACTTTTGTCAATCTTGTTTTATGTGCCTCAGGTACCATGTCTATTTTCACGTTAAACAAAACGTTACGTGAACTTCAACGAAATTATATATTATCAGAAATGAAAACAACTTAATTCCTTAACTGAAGTGAAGTAGTCAACATGACGAACGGAAATTACTTGAAATCTCAAAACGTTAAAAGGGAAATAAAGGAGTACTTTTGTACTTATGCCACTGTATCAGCTATACCGGTGTATGTTACTGGTAATATTAGTTTTGTTGTTTTATTGATAAATGTAGTTTCCAGAGTTATTGCCAAATTATCACCACATCCTATGTAAATCATAGTAAACGCTCCCCTCTCCCTTTGAAATTCACCCGTTTCAGAAATCAAAATTTCTTATGTAAACATATATGTACGTTTATAACACTTTCGTCTTGTTAAATTGATGTTTAGAATCTTATTCCTTCCTATTATAAAGTAAACACTGACTGTATGATTTGACATACCGAAAGCGGATAGTTTGAGATTTCATAGTTATTTTTTTTTTTATTTATTTCTAACAACTACACAAACTTTGATCAACATTTGCTACTAATTTTTTACCTACATGTATATGTTTATCTTATTTCAAATACTATAACCTTCCGGTGAATAGATGCATTTTTTCACCTATTGTTTCAGTTGGAATTCACTGGAAACTGCAGAACAACTAGTTGTAATTAGTGATAT